GTTATAAATTATCGAGCTAATAAGTCATTAGCTATAGTAGCAAAGTAGAGATCTAAAAAATGTAAAACTTTTTAAGGATGATGGGGGGGGGGGCAGAACTGGAAAATTTTATCACATTTCTCATAAACGTATCAATATTTTCATTTTCCTTAAAAAAAATATTTTTCAACCATTAGCGCCATGTATTTTTTCATCAATTTTTGGTAAAAATGTATATTTCGGAAAAGTCGATAGCGTCGCCAAGGTTTTGACATCGTATATATATTTATTAAAGGTGTTTAAATAAAAAGCAAAAAAAAAATTTCGAAATCAAACCCCCTTTTTTGCTTAAAAATACAGGTGAAGCAATATAGGTAAACCGGAAGTTAAGGACTCAAATTAGCGCCAATTATTATTATTTTTTAGTAGCCTTTAGAGATTTTTTTTACCTACAATATGATATATTATATATTTTTTTACTATAAATAGTATTTGAGATATAAGCATTTTAATAATTTTTCAGATTCCAAAATGGCTCTTTTTTGCACTTTAGAAATCCTATATCTCGGAAACCAGGTGTGCTAGCGAGCTACAATAAACGGCTTTCTCAATTATATACCTATCTAAATAATTCCAAAAATTTTTAACTATTTTAAAAGGGGTCGGTCGAAAATGTGCCTTTTTTGATCGATTTGACATGGAATGATGGCCCATACTAAAAAAATATATAATTTTACAAAGATGATAAAAAAAAACTATAAAAGATTTATCTAAAAAATTGTTTATTTATAATAAAATTCTCAAAAGAATTCCTCAAAAATGATTTATTTACAAAGAGATTTAAAATTCTTATCAAATCAAAATATGTTCAACAAAATATATATATATAAGGTAAAATCTTTGTTGATATTGAAGATAGAAATATCAATAACAAATCAAACGATTGAAAGATGGTGGTGTGAAAAAATAACATTAAAAAAGTCCGGGACGGGCCAGCCCTGAGTATATAAATCACGGACTATGTCTAAATATTTTTAAAAAAATCCTTGCCAGGCCTAATTTTTTTTTTGAAAATAGAATCGTGGACGAAATTTTTCTATTTTAAAAATTCGGGCCATGCAAATTACCTCTGCAGCTATCTGATATTAATATTTAAAAAAACCACATGTAAAAATTCATAAATAATACTTATTATTAATATAAACCACCTTTAAAAATGTTTAATAAAAAAATTAATTAATATTTACATCAAATTCTATGAAAAAATAAATAAATAAAATGTTGAGTCAATGAAAGATTATTTATCTAAATATCTTTAGCTAAAAAGAAAAAAATGATTTATATTTTAATTTATATATATCTATAAAATAAAATAACATGTTAAAATAAAATTTAAAAACAAAAAAATAAAATATTTTTAAAAAATATATGAGGGGTATAATTTATTTACAAATTCTAAATTTGTGTTTTTTTCCATTTATAGCATGGGTAAATAAGAATAAATAATATTAAATAAAAATTTATAAAATTACATTAAACAAATTCAATATAATATTAAATAAAAAATATAAAAAATGAATCAAATCCTTTTTTATGTTATTTTTTTATAGCTGATTCCAATTATTTAATATCCATATTTTTTTTTAAATGAATAGTAGGTGTTATACTCAAAATGATTAAGCAACTTGTGAATGAGTTTTGCCTAAAAACACTTATTATCGTCAGGAATACACTATACTTTTTACAATTTCATAATGCAGATAGAAAAAAACAAGAGTCTGCCATACAATGTGTCGTAGACCTTTTTTATTATGAGATCTTCCTTTTGGCTTCAGCATTAGTCAATTTTTGACTCAAAAACATTCTGAATTTAGGGCTAAGCCGGCTTGGCTTAGATGTTTAAAAATATATTTCTGCTGAAAAGTTGGCTTGTGCCAAGTCATGAGCTGACTCAAGCCAGCCAACTAATTTGGCTCAAAGAGCTGGCTTGAGTCAATTTTCGACTCAAAAACTAGATGAGTTTATGGCTAAGCCGGCTTGGCTCAGCCATTTAACAACACTAATCTCAAATAAATAAATTTTGGTTTAAAAGATGGCTTAAGGCAACTCCTTAGCCGGTTTGAGCCGACTCGAACCTGCCAACTAAAATGGCTCAATGAGGAGGCTTGAATCTTAGTCAATTTCGACTTAAAAACTGGCTGAATTTAGGACTAATCTGGCTTGACTCAGCCGTTTAGCAACACTAACACTAATCTCAAATAAATAAATTTTGCCTTAATAATCGGCTTGAGTGAACCAAAGGCTTGAGCCAACAGCTGAGTCAGCCGGCTCAATGAGCCGTCTTAAGCCTGAGCCAAATTTTTGGCTCAAAAACTGGCTGAGTTTTTGGCTAAGCCAGCTTGGCTCAGCCATTTAACAACACTAGTTCCATATAGCAATGCAAGTAAACTGATATTGTATTTTAAATTTGATTTTAATATAGTTGTTTGTTTTGAATTTTTATATATATACACTATATTTTTATATGACCTTTGTTTTATATTTGTTTTTTAATAATAAACTCAATGAATAACTTTAAAAAAAAAAATTTATATTGAAAAAATGATGTTTTATGTTTAAATAATTTACAAATTTTAATAAAGTTTTATACATGTTACTTTTAATGAAAAAAGTGAACCCATAACCCTAATTAAAAAGGGTTCAGGTTTAGTAAAATATCAAGTGTTCTGGTTCACAGAGTTGGGCAGTACCGCTAATACTTGTATCTAAGATATAAGATACAAGATCCTTTTGTATCTTGTACTCAGTATCTTATTGACATTTTTAATAAGATACTAGTATCTGTATCTAAGATCCTTTATTTTGAAAAGAATCTTGTATCTTTTTCATTTTCTTTAAAAAGATACAGATACAGATTCTTTTTAATATTCATATTTAAAACATTTACATATCACACAATCTAACTTTATTTTCTTCGTGAAATCTTGTATTATTTTCTGCTATTTAAATATATTGATAACCAAAATTAGTTGGAAATTTTACAGATCACAAAGATAGATAGATTAAAAATAACAACACCAAAACTAAATAAGTAAAGGTTATATTTTATATGTAATATTTTTTAATTTGTAGAATGTTTAATATTTATAGTAGTGAAGATGAAATTATGGATAGGTTCTCCTGAATCAAATCCGAATCTTAAAATTCTAGATGGAAAATTTTATAAAGTAATTTATGTGAAAAAGGACAAGGTACAAGCTGAATGTCAAAATTGCACAAGTAAAAATGTTATTAAAGGTTGAACAAACTCCTCTACAAACTTTGTTAAACATATTAAAGTATATTATACATTTTTATTTTATAATTATTAACATAATAATACCTATACTTAAGTCCCTCTTATTGTTATTAAATTTTTTTATAGAAGATGGTTGATTATCAAATTAAAATCATTTTGGATATATAATTTTTAGAGGTGTACCGATACCACTTTTTAGAGATCAATCCGATCCGATATTCAATTGATATCCCGATTACCGATCCGATATCATATCTAATTTTGTATTCTGTAAAGATACCAATGGGTTTAATTTTTAATATACTTTTTATTAGTATAACAACCATAATTTAACTATACCATAACTTATGTCATTTAAATATATTATAACGATCAGTTATAGTTTATATTCAATTCAATTGCAATTCTAAAAGTATATAAAATATTTTTATTGTTAAATCACTTTTATATAACAAGTAATAACATTAATCTATATACATATTAATTAAACAATTATATTATGAAATTTGAAATAAATATTTAAAATAATATTTAACATTAATATAGCGAAGATTTCTTTTTAGTAATACCAATATTTCCAATTTATCAAAGGTCAGCTTGCGGCGATATTAACTGTCAATATCACCAGCTTCACTAAAAACAGATTCTGAAGAGATTATCGCATACTTTTATAAACAGAATGCGCAAAAAAATAACAATATGGTAGAATGTTTATTAATTAAATATTATTATTAAAAAAATATACATAAAAATGGATTTCGATTTTATTTATAAAAATAAATGATTTTAGATATAACTATTTTTTAAAATTTTATTTTTGTTAAAGAAGCCATTTTTATATCGAATCAAATTTTATAATATTGACCGATAATTGATATTTTAAAATGGGTGAAATATCGGTTCGATAAAAAATATCGGCACATCCCTAATATATTTTATATTTAATTATTTTAGCAAGTTCTTATTAGAGGAAATATTTAAGCTATAATTGATATATAACATTAGATAATTTTAAAAGGCTCTTAATAAAATAATTATAATAAGGTAGAATTTAATTTTATTAGTTACTTTTATTTATTTATGATATAAGTAAAATTATATTACAGTATTTATCTACAAAATTTAATCAATTTAAAATGCATTAAAAAATTTTTTTTATATATTAAATAATATAATGTTGTACAATATTTACATATTTTTTATATATAATTAATGATTTTGCAAGAAATATAATAAAAAAATTTGAAAAGAGATTTAAATGATATTTATATATATATGATATTACAAATGCAAGAATTAATAAGTCATACTAGAAAATAAAACTAATTTAAAAAATACATAAATATCACAAACAAGTAATGATAAATACTTATTAAAGATAATGAATAAAATAAAACTAGTATTATTTTTTTTAGAGATGCCATTTAGCCATATATTCCGAATATAAGCTATATTCAAAACAACACAAAAAATAACCTGCAAATTCTAATAAATCATTTGATTTAATTTTTTTTCTTATTTGCACATTTTCAACTCCTATTAAATATACTACTCTCCCTTCCCTGTTTAAGCTATTAATGGACAAAAATTAATATTAAAATCCCTGGTTATTATAATTAATTCATCAATAAATATTTTATTAATTATTGCAAATATTCATTATTATATGTGTAATACTATGTTCTTCACAAATAACTAATAAAAATTGTATTTTATAAACTATTCTAATTTAATTGGTAATGATAATTTGAAGGTATCTTGTATTTAAGATACTCTAATTTAGTAAAAGATACAAGAATCTTTTATCTTTTTGATATTTTGAACAAGATACTAGTATCTGTATCTAAGATTCCTTTTTTTATAAAGAATCTGTATCTGTATCTAGATTCTTTTTCAGGAGGACCTGCCCAACTCTGCTGGTTCAGGGTTCACAGCCCTGATATTTTCTAAAAGCCCAATATCAGTGCTGATCTAATGTATATATAAATCAAAGAGAAATAAATACCAATTTTCTTCTATATTAACTTCCATTATTTGCTCTTAATATTTTTGTGACAATTTATTTTTTCATAATAATAAAAAGCTATTATTTGCATTTCAAGATTTGATAATATTTTGCACTTTGAACACCTATATCTTAGCCCCTGCCATCCTTAGGAAATCAAAAATCATAAATATCAAAAACAACTAAAATGGTCAGGTCAAAGATTGTTTATTTTTGTAGAATTCACTAAAGGAAAACTTAATATAACTTAAATTATAAAATTTCTGGGGTCAGGAATTTTAAACAAATATATATTATAATTTAATGCAATCATATATAATAGATGATTCTATTTTCTTAAATTAAAGATATAAGTTATAAATTTTATTCCCACTTTTTACTTTCATATAAACTTTGTAATTGTGTTACAATATATTTATGTTTAACAAAATTAGATTTGTATTTTGCTTTAATTTCATTTAATAATTTATTTGCTTTTATGTTTTCCAAATAATACATTTCTTGTTTCTATAAAAATTTGATTAATATTAACAAATAATAATTGAACCTCAGATAAATAAGGTGTGCTAAGGTGTTTCATTGTCTCCATTTCACAATCTAATCTATTCCATTGATCAATGATATCTCTTCGTTGAATAGGATAATAAACCTTATGTTTACTATTTAATTTATAGATTAATACTTCATCAATAATACCCAATATGTGCTAATCCTCGAACTTTGTAATAAACTTTATACCGAACTGGAGTGAACAACATTATCTTTGAAAAATAAACTAGTTCGTATCGAATTTAAAAGTGAATAATATAGGTATCGTACGACATTTGAGATGTCATATATAGACCTGCCTTTTTCTATAAGTCAGAGATTTTTAATAAATCGTTAAAAAGCGAGACTACGCGGAATAAACGTTATTGCATTTTATATATCGAACCTGTGTCAAAAAATTTAAATTACAAAGATATCAAATTTTAATTAAATTTCCAATCATAAATTACAAATTTATCAATCTTAATTTCAAAAGTCATAAAAATAGAAGTATAATTTTTTAAAAATTAGATTAAATTTTTTACATATTTTATTCGATGATCTATTTTAAACTACATTTCCTAGTAACTTAATTTCGTAACTCCAAGCAGCGTCTACATGAGCGGGAGGGGTAGGAACAGTTTGCATCCTATTTTTTGAGGAGGGTATGAGATAGGCTGCTTTAATGGGGGTAGGATAAATTTTTTGGGGGTTATCTATTAAATTTTGAGATGAAATAGGACAAAATTTATTGCTGTAAAAATTAATACTTTTATCATAGAATTATTATAATACAATTCATCTACCAAATCTATATATTGCAAACAATCATACATATTGTTTTCCAAATAAAACTTTCTGCTATCCTTTTAAATGTAATTTAAAAGGTTTAGATATTTCAGCAAGCTCATAATGACATAATAATTAATTCATTTAAGTAATGGAGGTTTTAATTGAACTTATTATCTAAAAAATAAATTCTTTATATTCACAAAATATCGATAGTTGGTAGTAGAGATAGATTAATTTAAGTTATCCTTTATAAATTTTCTGAAAAGCGTATCAATAAATAAAAGGTAAAAATAATAATAGAGAGACACCGGCGCCAAAGGCGCTGTAAATTTTTTAGGGGGGTAGGCAAAGGTTTTTGAAGATGGTTTGCATCCAGTGAAATTCCTGTCATATAGACGCTGACTCCAAGCAATTCATGGTTAAATTCGTTTTACTATTAATTTGTCGAATAAATTAAAAGATAAGAACGATTTTATTTCTCAGGTAAGAAATCAAAATCATAGATAACAACATTACATTTAAAAAGGGAATAGTACAAAAAAATGTGAGACAAAACTTTTACTTTATTCGTTAATCTATTAAATATATTAATAGTATTTCATAGTTATTGATTCCATGCACCTATTTTAGTTACCCATTCAGCTTACTGGCAGAAATATTATTTTTTGCACTTTTAGCTATAGCTACGCCCTGCTGGCAGAAATAATCCGAAAAAGTATTTAGATTATTATGCGTTAAATTTTACAAAATTAACACTGGCAGTGGCATTATCATATTAGCCCACAATAATCACAAATTCGAGTCCTATTGATAGTATATTTTTAAAAATTTCTATCTATTTATAAATATTTTATGGTACGCCTCTTTGATCAGGGATACCATGCGAACATTTATTTTTAGCTGTTCAATTTGACTACGGTTTAGTCAGCGTCTACATGAGCGGAGGAGTAGGAACAGTTCGCATCCTATTTTTTTGAGAGAGGTAGGGGTTAGGCTGCTTTAATGGGGGTATGATAAATTTTTTGGGGGTTATCTATTAAATTTTGAGATGAAATAGGACAAAATTTATTGCTGTAAAAATTAATACTTTTATTATAGAATTATTACAATACAATTCATCAACCAAATCTATATATTGCAAACAATCATACACATTGTTTTCCAAATAAATCTTTCTGCTAACTTTTAAATCACCAAGCTCATAATGCCATAATAATTAATTCATTGTAAATAATAGAGGTTTTAATTGAATTTATTATCTAAAAAATAAATTCTGTATACAAAATATTGATAGTTGGTAGTAGAGATAGATTAATTAAGTTATCCTAGATAAATTCTCTGAAAAGAGTATCAATAAATTAAAAAGGTGAAAATAATAATAGACAGACACCGCCGCCGAAGGCGGCAAAATTTTTAGGGGGTAGGCAAAGGTTTTTGAAGGGGGTTTGCATCCAGCGAAAATCCTGTCATGTAGACGCTGGGTTAAGTGTATAATATAAAAAAAATCATAATGGTTACGATTCTTAAGAAATAATTTATAAAGATTCGATTCTGCTCCTTTAATTGTAAAGGTTAATAAAGGTTTATTGCTATTTTTATTGAAGCAACACAATCGTATATGATTTTGACTAGTAGAGTCACTAGAAGGGAGCGCGGGGGCTAAACCCCCTGAAAAATATAAATAGCCCCCTGAAGCGAAATATTTTATTTTCTTAATGGCTCCTAATATCCCATTAAACTAAAAATAACTTTTTTGATTGCCCCCAGAACGATTTCTTTTGTAATTCTGTTAAGTATTATATATAGATTTGATTTTATTATTTAATAATTAAATAGACTATCTAAATTTTTATTAAATGAGTGCTATTTTAATTATTAGATTAGATTAATATATATAAATTATATTTTATTATTTACTATATAAATTTTTATTAAATAAGTGCAATTTTTCTTATTAGATTAGAATAATACATATAAATCATATTCACTATGTCAGCTTACAATCAAATTCTATGTTAAAAATAGAATATCAATATCACACATAATGTCTAAATATTAATATAGCATTAACAGTTGCTTATTTTTATTATTTAAATTATTTTATAACCTCAATTAAATAAATATAATCATTTATTAATTGAAAATTAACAAATTTAATATTGTAATTAGCCGAGTTCAAAATCACTAATCAACTATATTATTCATTTTTATATTTATTTACCATGCCTCTTCCTAAAAATTTATTCAAGGTCCAAATAAGTATAAGAGACTTCTTTATAAAATATTATGTAAAATGCCACTTATAGACACGTATTTGACAGTTATATAATATATTACAGTTAATACTTTAATAAATTTTACTAATAAATGCTTTTGATTATAAATATAAGCAATAATTTTATTCAATTCTTTATAGAATTGACTATTTATTTAAAAATATTATTAAAAATTAAACATCTTATTATTCATCCCATAATGGATGTAATGGAATCTATTTTTTTTTCTTTGAAAAACAGTTTTGAGTTTAATTTTTAATACGAGTATATTTTAGATATTATTATAAACTACTATTATTTTAAGATATAATATACCCACTAGAGGTGGTGAGACAGTAATATATAAAATCTTAATTTGTTTCATCATATCACTTTGGTCCTTATATAGTTATAAAATGTTTCTTTTCTAATATGGCATCCTTGCCGTGTAAATAACTCAAAGTTTCAATATATTTGCATAATTATTTCTTCTAAAGATTTTTAGTGTTTTTGTTTTATCAATTTATAAAACATAATAAATTCTGATAAGAGTTTACATAGTGAGTGTCATGGCTATGACTGTAAATTAACCAGCATCTATTATTTGTGTGACTATGTAATTTAAGATTATTACTCCTGCTGCCATAGGCGTAGCCAGGATTTTCCTAAGGGGGGGGGGGAAATAAAAATATTACTGGGAGCTTCGCTCCCAGACCCTATTTTGGGCGAGCCTTCGGCCAGGTTAACTTTGTCTATATATAATCATAAAATATTTTTACAAGATAGGAGGTTAATTTTAATAAAAAAAATAAGCCTGGGACAAATATGAAATAAATTTTTATTAGTTTATATGAAATATAATAAATTACTTGTATATACATTAATATAAAAGCATGGAAATAATTTATTCCAAACAAGTATAAGAAATTTATTTATAAAAAGTAAGAAGACATATAGTTGATATTCCTCTATTATATAGAATTGGTTACAAAATACTAGGTAAAATTCCACTTTTACAGAAATATTTGACAGTTAGAGAATATATTACAGTTAATATTTTAACAAATTTTACTAATCAATTCTCTTGATAATAAATATGGCAACAATTTGCATTCAATTATTTAACGCCATCTATTTATTTTAAATAAATAATGATATTAATAATTAATCTTCATATTATTCATCTCACAATGTCTTTAAAGATGTCCTTATCAATATTTTATAGTTTTCTGTAAAATATATAATTCGCTATATTGGTAAAAATTAGGTTAATGATGCTTACGGCTAATGATAATGCACGGTAAGCGTGCACTATTTTTTTCATGTTTTTCATAAATTAACAAGCACGGCAAAATACGTCATATATTTATTTTTATGTAAATAAATAAATAAAATTACGAAAGATCTCGTTTATAAATGTTCGTTTTATAATTATTTTATTTGAAAAACTAAACAATTATTTAAACATTCAATATGGACTTCAATTTATATTATAAAAGTAATCGTATTTATATACACAATATTTAAAATTTAATTAAATAGGTTATTCCTTTTACAGAACCTATTCCTTTTACAGTACCTGTTCATTTTACAGTACCTTCATAGCCAAGTATTTTTATACTCAATTTATATTAAAGTATATTGTTATATATATAGTTACAATAATAATTTTATATTTAAAATTTAATAAAACAGGTTATTCCTTTTACAGTATCTATTCCTTTTACAGTACCTGTTCATTCTACAGTACCTATTCCTTTTACAGTACCTGTTCATTTAACAGTACCTTGATAGCCAAGTATTTTTTTATTCAATTTATATTATAAAAGTATATTGTTATATACTTAGTTACAATAATAATTTTATATTTAAAATTTAATAAAACAGGTTATTCCTTTTACAGTATCTATTCCTTTTACAGTACCAGTTCATTCTACAGTACCTATTCCTTTTACAGTACCTGTTCATTTTACAGTACCTGTTCATTTTACAGTACCTGTTCATTTTACAGTACCTTGATATCCAAGTATTTTTTTACTCAATTTATATTATAAAAGTATATTGTTATATACTTAGTTACAATAATAATTTTATATTTAAAATTTAATAAAACAGGTTATTCCTTTTACAGTATCTATTCCTTTTGCAGTACCTGTTCATTCTACAGTACCTATTCCTTTTACAGTACCTGTTAATTTTACAGTACCTTGATAGCCAAGTATTTTTATACTCAATTTATATTATAAAAGTATATTGTTATATACTTAGTTACAAAAATAATTTTATATTTAAAATTTAATAAAACAGGTTATTCCTTTTACAGTACCTATTCCTTTTACAGTACCTGGTCATTTTACATTGATAGCCAAGTATTTTTATACTCAATTTATATTATAAAAGTATATTGTTATATACTTAGTTACAATAATAATTTTATATTTAAAATTTAATAAAACAGGTTATTCCTTTTACAGTACCTTGATAGCCAAGTATTTTTATACTCAATCTATATTATAAAAGAATAATAATTGTTTAATTTATAGTTATGCTTATACAGGCACACTGGGCAAGTTAAATGTTAGCCTTTGTGCTACCCACCCTATTTAAAATTTTTACTTAAGTTGTTAGGCCCACCCTGGTTCTCTTTAAATACAAGCCCTAATCAAAAATGTATGTAGTATAATATACAAATAAAAACTATTTGTGATATTTGGAATGGTTAAATTAAATATACTACCCCTTATTTACCATCTCTCTATTAATTCAAGATTATGATATAAATATTAGCACAAAAAAAATCCACAGGCCATGTAAATATTTTAAGAGGTTGCTCAGCCTAGCTTATAGCAAATCTCTAATAAAAATATTTTTTTAAAAAGCTTATATCATACTAGATTCTTATGGATGCACATCAAAGCAATTTTGATCTTTTTGATTTAGACAATATAACTTCTACAAGTCAAATAAATTTAGAGGTAACAATATTTTTAAGAATATATTTACTATTGATTTGAAATGTAATTATTTAAAGTTTTAACCTAGAATTTTTATATATATATATATTCTATATCTATTTAATAGGTTGGGGCTCAATTTGAATCATTTAATGATTTGCAGGAGCTATAATTAGATATGAGAATATAGTATATACAAATTACCATATAGCGTCATGTACTAAACTTATTAATTTTGATCCAAAAATTATTCATACAATGATTTATAAATATATACGTTATGTCTGCATTCATGGTGGAAGAAAATTTAAAAGTCGTGGGAAAGGAAAACGACTTACCCAAACATTGCAAAAGAATTGCCAAAATAGTTTCTCAGTTAAGCATACAATAAAAGAAAAAAGACATATGCTTGAAGTTACAAAAATGAATTCTGGTCATAATCATGATTTGGGTAATATTTTTATCAAATGTTATACCATTTTATTATTAATTTAGATTCTAATTTATTCAAACGCTTACCGAAGCAGCGTAAAATTACTGAAGAATCAAGAGCTGTCATTATTAAGTGTTCGATGCCTCAATTCCTAAAATAAAATATGACCTCCAACAAAAGGGAGTTTACACAACAAATCGAGATTTATATAATATAAAAAAGAAAATATTATATCAACCAGGGGACTCTGAGCTCCTGGATGTTTTTAACTTATTAAAAAATTTAAACCCTAATATTATAAAAATAGTTTCTGAAAACAATGCCCTTCAGGGGATATATTATCAAACACCCAATATGAGGCAATATTTTAATGAATTTCCAGAAATTCTCATGGTTGATGCAACCTACAAATTAAATCATTATCAAATGCCAGTCTTTACTCTCTTCGTTATTGATGGAGAAGAGCAAACAAGATTTGCTGCCATCTGGGTTGTAAAGTCTGAAAATTATTTAATAGTTAAAAATATGTGTGATTTATTTAAATCATATAATGATAAGGGCATGACTAAAATACGCGTCCCCGAAAACTACACGTCCCTACGCGTCCCCGGTCAAACGGGTTTAATTTATATAATATTAATAAAAAATCTTATTTAGCTTTATAAGATGAGTTAAAAAATGTTTTTTATGATTTAAAAAAAAATTATAACTTAGTAAATTTTTTAAAAATTTATTATTTTACATCAAAAAACTACGCGTCCCCCGTTAAGATACATTTTTTTTTAAAAAAATAAAAGCAGATTTATATTTAGCTCATTAAATGAATATATGTTTTTTATGATTTAAAAAAAAATGATAACTTAGTAAAATTTTTAAAAAATTATTTTTTTAAAAAACTACGCGTCCCCGGTCAAGATACATTTTTTTTTTAAAATAAAAGCAGATTCATATTTAGCTCATTAAACGGATATAGAAAATGTTTTTTTTGATTTAGAAAAAAAGAGGTAACTTAATAAAATTTTTAAAATACTAATTTATTACATAAAAACATTACGCGTCCCCAGTCAAGATACATTTTTTTTTAAAAATAAAAGCAGATTCATATTTAGCTCATTAAATGGATACAGAAAATGTTTTTTTTGATTTTAAAAAAAAGTGGTAACTTAGTAAAATTTTGAAAAAACACTTTTTTTCTTCATTTTTTGACTAAAATACGTGTCCTACGCGTCCCCGGTCAAGATAGATTATTTTTATAATAATGAATATAGAATCGTGTATAGTTTTTCAAGGAGATTACGAAAATGGTATTTATAATTTATTTTTTTTTTAAATTATTTTTCGAAAATTTTTTTTTTGACTAAACTACGCGTCCCAACGCGTTCCCGGTCAAGATATATTTTTTTTAAAAAAGCAGATTCATATTTAGATCATTAAATGGATACAGAAAATGTTTTTTTTATTTAAAAAAAAGGTAACTTAGTAAAATTTTGAAAAAACACTCTTTTTTTTTCATTTTTTGACTAAAATACGGGTCCCTAACGCATCCCCGGTCAAGATAGATTATTTTTCTAAAAATGAATATAGAATCGAAATTAATACCATTTTCGGAATCTCCTTAAAAAACTATACACGATTCTATATTCATTTTTATAAAAATAATCTATCTTGACCGGGGACGCGTAGGGACGCGTATTTTAGTCAAAAAATGAAAAAAAAGAAGTGTTTTTTCAAAATTTTACTAAGTTACCACTTTTTTAAAAAATCAAAAAAAACATTTTCTGTATCCATTTAATGAGCTAAATATGAATCTGCTTTTATTTAAAAAAAAATGTATCTTGACCGGGGACGCGTAATTTAGTCAAAAAAAAATTTTTCGAAAAAAAATTAAAAAAAAAATAATTATAAATACCATTTTCGGAATCTCCTTGAAAAACTATACACGATTCTATATTCATTTTTATAAAAATAATCTATCTTGACCGGGGACGCGTAGGGACGCGTATTTTAGTCAAAAAATGAAAAAAAAGAAGTGTTTTTTCAAAATTTTACTAAGTTACCACTTTTTTTAAAAATCAAAAAAAAACATTTTCTGTATCCATTTAATGAGCTAAATATGAATCTGCTTTTATTTCTAAAAAAAAAATGTATCTTGACCGGGGACGCGTAGTTTAGTCAAAAAAAAATTTTTGAAAAAAAATTTAAAAAAAAAAATTATAAATACCATTTTCGGAATCTCCTTGAAAAACTATACACGATTCTATATTCATTTTTATAAAAATAATCTATCTTGACTGGGGACGCGTATTCTAGTCAAAAAATGGAGAAAAAAAGTGTTTTTTCAAAATTTTACAAGTTACCACTTTTTTTTAAAATAAAAAAAAACATTTTCTGTATCCATTTAATGAGCTAAATATGAATCTGCTTTTATTAAAAAAAAAATATATATCTTGATCGGGGACGCGTAATGTTTTTATGTAAAAAATTAGTATTTTAAAAATTTTACTAAGTTACCACTTTTTTTTTAAAATAAAAAAAAACATTTTCTATATCCATTTAATGAGTTAAATATGAATCTGCTTTTATTTAAAAAAAAAATGTATCTTGACCGGGGACGTGTAGTTTTTAATTTAAAAAAATAATTTTTTAAAAATTTTACTAAGTTATCATTTTTTTTAAAATTTTCTATATTCATTTAATGAGCTAAATATGAATCCTATTTTATTTTTTTTAAAAAAATGTATCTTGACCGGGGACGCGTAGTTTTTTGATGTAAAAAAATAATTTTTTAAAAAATTTACTGTTATCATTTTTTTTTAAATCATAAAAATCATTTTTTAACTAATCTTATAAAGCTAAATAAGATTTTTTATTAATATTATATAAATTAAACCCGTTTGACCGGGGACGCGTAGTTTTCGGGGACGCGTATTTTAGTCATGCCCAATGATAATAATAATAAAATTAAAGTAATAATTGCAGATAAGGACTTTGCTAATAGACATGCTTATAGAGAAGCCTTTCCTATGGCTTCACTTGAAATATGTACGTTCCATGTACAACAAACATTTATTAGAGAAATAACCGTTAAAAAGAGAAATATAAATTCTACCCAGGTAAAGGTTGTGTTAAATCTTTTGAAAAAATGATCTACACAAAAACAGAAGCACATTATTGGGAAATATATAATTCATTGATGGCATTAAATTTTTCAGATGTGGAAGAATATTTTAATAATAATTGGCATAACATTCGACACGAGTGGTCTTATCCATGGCGGTGTAAAACCACAAATTTTTCTATTTATACAAATAATAGGAGGGAGAGTATGAATAGGGTACTCAAAACCCTAATAAAAAAACATTTTAACAAATTTTTTCAAAAATTTGAATATTTGTATAGATACCTCAAATGAGGAAAAAAATCATAATGTGATTATGAATCTTAAAAAAATATCTACAAGAAGTTATCCAGAAAATAGTGTAAAATTCAAATATCAAAATATATTGACTAATGCTGCCTTTAAAAGGATATTAGAAAAGCTAAATTTATCAATATCCCATGATGAAGGAAATTCAACTTTAACAGTATTACCCTCAAATTGTAGTTGTGGATATTTAGAATCTATTTTATTACCATGTAGGCATATTTTTGAATATAGAAGATTGAATGGTATAGATCTGTTTGATCAAAATTTATGTCATCCAAGATGGCAGAGAGATTACTTTATGAATTCAAAAATTTACATGATGACTGATAAAAATAATATACTTACTAATAATATTAATCAAAATGATATCGATGGCACTAGAATTAATCATACTATCAATGAAAAAAAAATTCTATCATCTGATGAAAAATTCAGAAAAGTAAAGGATATAATGCAAAATATATCATCATTATCATCTCAGATGAATCAAAATGCATTTATCAAAATATATACATACTTAAAATATGTTTATAAAGATCTATGTCAGCCTACTCCTAAAATTTTTGAACAATTTGAACATGCTATCAATATATTTAATCCAACATCAGGATTTAAATTTAATGACATGGGTAATCATTTTTTTTAGAATTTATTAATAATTTTTTTTAATGAATTAGAATATATTCTGTAAACTTTAAAAAATATATATAAAAGATGTTGAACAAAAACCAGAAAATCCACTGAAACAAGTTAGTGAAGTAGAAATCAATTTCAATAATATTAAAAATATTGAAATGCCAGAAAAAATGAGTCCTGGATATTTAAAAAGACGCAAAGATGCTAAAAATATGAGAAAAGGTTTGATCTTTAAATTCATTTATATTATTTGTGAAAAGTGAAAGTGATGAAAGAAAAACAAATAAATAACATCAATATAATGGACAAAGAAAATAATCACAACTTTAAGCATTTGATAGATATGAAAGGTTATAAATTTTAGAGTTACATCTATATCACTTTTTTTGGCTAATAGCAAATATTGTTTATATGAAAAGCAAAAAATTTTTTTATGTCTTTACAATATATTTTTTTTAGATACTAGTTTTCCCTCATCAATAAAAATTTTCACAAATAGTAAACCCTTACAAACTCTTTCTGAAAACACAAGTATTTTTTTATAAATTTTTATACTAATTGCATAATATATTTTCAAGATTCTACCAGTTTACATTCATCAATGCAAACATTTATAGGTTATTATACATTGTTAGATAAGATTTTTATATAAACTTAATTTAATTTTTTATATATATATTATTTTTAGGATGTGCTAATGCTAAAAAGCACACTGCTGGCTCATCAGATAAAAATATAGTTATCCATTCTTGTGATTATGATAGACAAAAAGATTCTTTTAGTAATTTACTTAATTATATTATTATCGGATGTTTTTCTTGTAGGGCCTCTATTAAATACAAATCAATTACAAAAAAAGATATTATCAAAGGATACTTCTGCGAAAACGAACAATGTACTCCACAGTTCCTGTAAATAACTTTTATTATATATACCTGATTATTTTATTTTAGTACTACCACATGGAACTAGTATTAGGCCATTAAATCCTTTTAGTAATAGACCACTTTAATAATATTTAATATTTATTTCTTTAAGGGATTTTACCAAATAATATGCCCAAACTGACATTACCATTAAATAACATCACAAATGTCCCAACCAGGGTTGCCATGTCTCCCCCCATCAGTGGGAGTCTCCCACAATTTTTTAGTTTACCCACATACATCTCACTCCCACAAAACTCCCACAATTAGAAATCTCCCGCAAAAAGCTCCCACAATTTTTTAATTTCTCCCACAATTTTTTTTTTAGCATTTTAATGTTTTTAATATATAAATAATAATTTTGAGAGACAGTATTTGATTATTTTTATATTTTTAAAATAAATTTTAAATATTTATTCGAAAAATATGTCTAGTTCTTTTATTTTATTTTTCCGCTCTAAAATATATTTTTTATAAAATTCTCCAATTCTCCACTCGACATTTTCAAAATTTTTGTGTTAGAAAGAATAGAAATTAGAACAGTATGTATAATTATTATAAATATATTTTAAATTACTTAATATATTTTATATCGTTATCTAGAATTGCAGTGCTCCACTCGACATTTTCAAAATTTTTGTGTTAGAAGAATAGAACTTTTAGAAGTGGATATTATTCTAATCTCTAATTCTTTTAAATAAAGTTAGTGGATGAATAATATTGATTAAATAATATTTTTCACTACTTTTATACTATTCCATAAAGTATATGTCAAGCAAAAGATTATAAATATAATTGATCAGCGTCTACATGGCAGAAAATTTGATGGAGACAAACCCCTCCAAAATCTACCCATACCCACCTAAAAAAAATCCTGCGGCCTTCGGCCGCGAAATTTACAGACCTACGATGGTATAGTGATTTTATTTAAAAAATCTTATCTGCCACCATTTATAACCTTACAACATAATTCTATTTACAATCTTTCAAGCCTATTTAGGGAAAAAAAATTTAAAAATTTGTAAGTGATAATGAACTTTTATTTAAATAATGCAATCTTTTCATAATTTGGTATTCACTTTATTTTCATAAAATATATATAAGTGAATTAAATGAGATAACATATTAATATTTCTATGAAAAAGATCTAAAATATTGTAAAAAATATAAGACGAATAAATTTAAAGAGGTATATTTAGCTTGATTCCACATAATTAAAAACATGTATTGTAAATAGAGCTATTATATAAAATATTAGAATAAAATGAATTATAGTATATTTTGCATTGAAATTATAAAATGTTAAATTAAATATACATTATTTAAAAGCCTATATATTCGCTGTGAAAAAGATACATTAATTATTTTATTAATAATTTGGATAACCTTATTGATGTTAAAGCAAATTGTGTTATAATATCATCAATTGTAAATTTTTCAAAAACATCAATTTCGCTGGATATTAACAGTAAATTTTCCAAAAATGGGTCCGAAATTTTATTCCGCATTCGAGTTTTGTTAATTTTTACTTTACTCATGGCTCTTTCGGCTGAACAGGAAGTTGTAGGAAGGGTTAATAAATATTTATATAATAAATTTAAATTTGAATAAGAATTTAATTGATTTAAAAGTCGGTATGGTAATATAAAAGAAAATTTTATCCATTTTTTTATTTTGGTCATGATTTCGCTGTTGATATTTTCTTTGGTAATTTGATCGTTTGCAATACCTTTAATTATATACAATTACAAATAAAATATCAATAAATTACTTTCATCAATATATAACGCGTCATTCTTTTTAACTTTTAAAAGATCTTCGCAAAAAATGATTGATTGAGACTCCAAATATAAAGAGCGAAAATCATTATATTCATCAACAATGTTTTGGACATCCAATTGATAAGTATTACAAATTTCGGATATTTGCCATCCTTCTATTTTTTCATTATCCATAATTCCAGCGGGAGTAAAAATGGATATCTGTGATAAAAAATTTAAACAATCATAATTAAATCGATCATTTAGGTGATTAATTATTGCATTTAGAACAGGGAAAAATATTTCCGTTCTATATCTATAATAATAAATAATAATTTAAATTTTTTTAATTTATTCAACTTGTTTTTTTTTGTTCAACATAATTATTGAATTCTGTTTGATCCAATTTGAATATTGATTTCATATTATACAAATCAGTTATTACATTATTCTTTTTCAAAAAACTATTAGATAAGGAATGTAATTTTAAAAATATATTGTCTCCATTAGCTATATTTTAAAATTATTTATAGAAATAGTAACTAATATTAACCTTTTAGTTTTTGTAATTTATTTTTTGTATGTTGTATTAATTTGGTTACCAAAGCCAAATCATTACCAACTGCCTGCATTTCAATACAAGCCTCATGTGTACATTTCAATATTTCTTTCAAAATAAAAAGACTTAATATAAAATTTTCATCTTTAATTCTTGATAATAACCCATCGGCAATGGAAGAGGTGCTTGGGTCATTAGAATCTTTTAATTCAACTAATGATGCTAAAATATGTTCATAAACATCTAAAAAGATTTCTACAGATTTGTAGGATGATGACCAATTTCTGAAAATATATAAGTTTCAAGTTTCATTAAAAATATTTTATTTACCTTGTTGTGTTTTTAATTCTTTTAAGAGATTTCTTGGACTTTCTCATTTGATATTTAACAAACACACTTTGACGTCTAACTCCATTCATAAAATTATATAACTCATCTAATATTCCCATTGCCTTTTTCATTTCAATTTTGCATCCACAAACATGAGCAACTACTAAATTTAGCCGATGTGCATGGCACCAAATATAGATGGCTTTTGGAGCCTCTTTCAATATTAAAGCCTGCATTCCTTTGTATACTCCTCTCATATTCCCTGCACCATCCATACTTTGTCCAACCAAATAATCAAGAGGAAGACCAAGATCATTAAACTTAGAAAAAACATGTTTCTTTATATTTTCCCCAGTGGTTTCTGATGTTGTAAAAACATGTATGATCCTTTCTACAGGATGTGGATGCAGATCATCTTCTATATACCGTACAAGCAAAGCTATGCATTCTTTTTTAGACACATCATATGTTCCATCTAATATGATGCTATAGGCACGATTCTCTTTAATTGTTTGAATAATGCTTTTTGTTATTTTTATCTTAATAATTTCAGTTATTTTTTTCACGTGGCCATATGACAGTAAATTTATATAAGGTCTCGAAATTTTATCTGATTTTTTTCTCCGCAATTTTTCGTTGTTATCCATGTATGCACGTAAAGTTGGAACCGTTTTTGCCATTAATTTTATGAGACACATAAAATTACCTTCATTCGAATTAGAACCCCAAAAGGCTATATTACATTTTATAAGGTACATAATGGCATTGATAATATTATGAACTATATTACGATTTTCCATGATTATATCAAGCTTATTTGATAGCAAATGATCTTGAATGCGTTTATTTGCAAGCCAAGTCATGTTTGCATATTCACAATCTTTATGAAGAGAAGATGCTTCGTGTCTCTCTAAGTCACGCTTTATGTTTTTCCAATTATTTACCCCATGTTGAGTCCAAAAAGTATTGGACTTAGGGCCACCAAACATAATACAATATAGACAAAAGACTTTGTCTAAAGTAGTGCTATAAGATAGCCAATTTCTGGGGTTGAGGGAACCATCTATATTAACCTTTCTATAATAGGTTATATTCATGCTCCTGTTTAAAAAGTAAAAAAAAATATATTGGTATAGAAATAATGGATGGGTAAAAATTAATGAAAATAAATATTATTTAAAACCTCTTGTTAGTAACAGGATATTGAAATTTATTTGTACATGGCTGACAAGGGCCTACAGCAATTATGAAATTTATCAAAATATTTGTCATCCTAAATAATATAAAGTGAAAAGGGTCATTTGGTTCCTTTTTTTTGTATAGCTGAATAAGACTTGGACTTTGAATATCCTCATAATTTATTCCCTTCAAAAGTCATTATATAAATTTTATTTAAATATAATGCCTCATGCAAAGTAAGTGCCTCACTAGAACCGGGGATTGGATGAGGAGATAATACAATTTGTGAATCTTCAATATTGGAGATTTGCTATAAATAAAGAGTATAATTTGTTTACTTATGAGAATCTATTTTTAATATAATTTCAGCCAAATGGTCATTTTATTCTTAGCTACATTATAATTAAGTTAATCAATAAATGTTGGAAATATTTAAATGTCCTAATTTATTTTCTTCAAAAGTTATCATATAATTCGTATTTAAATTAAATACCTCATCATGCAAAGTAAGCGCCTCACTGGAACTGGGGATTGGATGAGAAGATAATACAATTTGTGAATCTTCAATATTGGAGATTTGCTATAAAGAGTATAATTTGTTTACTTATGAAAAACTATATTTTTAATAAAATTTTAGTCAAATGGTCATTTTATTCTTAACTACATTATAATTAAGTTTTTAATAAAGGTTGGAAATATATAATTAACCTCATAATCATAATTTATTTCTTTCAAAAGTTATCATATAATTCGTATTTAAATTAAATACCTCATCATACAAAGTAAACACCTCACTGGAACTGGGGATTGGATGAGGAGATAATACAATTTGTGAATCTTCAATAACTGAGATTTTCTATAAATAAAGAGGAGTTTAATTTCTTTCCTTATGATAACTATATTTTTAATAAATTTTTAGGCAAATGATAATTTTTTTAAACTACATTATAATTAAGTTTTTAATAAATGTTTTAATTTTACATGAATACATGATTGAGAAAACAGGTATTAAAAATATTATGAAGTCCAACATAAAGTTATCAGGTTACAATGGAAAGATGATACAAGTAATAGGTAAAGCACAAGTGAATGTAGAATACAAAGGGAATTCACATATTTTGAACGCAATAATCATAAACATCAATATGACTTTGTTAGATCATGTAAAAACATTTTTAAAATATACTTGAAAGATTCATAGGCATGATAGATGCAGATTAATATAAAACTGCGATCACATGAAGAAATCATAAAACAATATTATAATGACTATAAAAATAAAAACAATATTAAGTATAAATAAAATTGTGAAATTCATGATGAAAGTATATTATCTAAAGAAATTCTAATAGCTAAATAAAACAATGATAATAAACTTACCTAATATAACACATAATGTAAATAAAGGGGATGAAACTCACACAGATAACATTTTGAAAATAGTTGATTCCAAATCATATTTTATAAGATTTATATTTAAAAAAAGTAAAAGAATTTGAAGTCTTAATTCAATTAAAGATGAAAAGATTTAAATTTAAAAATTCCTAGAAATTAACATTACCTTATTTTACTACATTATATTAACTTAATAAGTTTTTTTAATACTTTGGTTTTAAATTATTATTATTAACTTATTAAACATATTGTTAAATTGAACTTTATAAAGTATATATAGATATAAAAATAGTGTGATAAACAGTTAAAAAACATTAAATAATAATATATATAATTAATTTTCTCTATACCCTGACTACTTTAATATTAATATTATTCTGGTAAAATTTTAAATCAGTTTCTATTAATTCACAAATTTATAGTTACAATAATAAATAAAAATATTACTTTTTGGAAGTAAGATGTTATTGTCTTTTTTTGCAACTGGGTTTCAACTCCATTTGTGATATTATATGGAATATCACAATTTAAAGATACCCAATTATTATTATCTCTTTTGATGGCTACCTTTGTAAATTTCATATCAACTGGCTTGACATGAGGATGTTTATGTTTATAATGTTCATGTATCTTGTCACTTCTTTTTAGAAGTTTTGCAATTTTTAATATTGCACTTAACTTTAAATATGGTTTTGTTACTTGGCATCTAGAAAGAAATAATTATTATAATATAATTTTTTACATATTATGTTTTTTATTATTCTTTGCTTGCTGATATATGTTTTTATGCATGACTCAAAAAATTACCTAAAATTTATCCTGCTAAAATCTATAAATTTATTAAAAAACATAATATAAATATATTAACCTCTAAGAAAAGTACCAAATAGGAAATGTGTAAATATTAACTTGATAAAATGCTAAATGAAAATCGTTGACAAAGAAAATTTATATTATTTATTAATTGACAAATATCTTTACTTTAATTGACATTTTTCAGAAAATCAAACGATAACCATCATAATCGTATCAATTAATGGATTAAAAAAAGATTATAATTCAAATCAAAAATTACCCACCAAAAATCAATACCTACCCCCAAAAAAATAATGCCTACCCCCAAAAAATTAATATCAACCCCTTAAAATCGATACCTACCCCCAAAAATGCTAATATATTTTGGAGGCATTTGTCTCCTACCCCCCCCCCCCCCTCCCGGCCATGTAGACGCTGATTGATATATTATTCAACAATAGCTCAGTTATAACAAACGACAATCTACCAAATATTATCATTTTAAAAATATGCGTACCATCATGCAAAATGCATATGCTATCTGTCATCACAATGTGGGTCGAATCTTTTCCACATAATATTTAACGACTCCAAAATAAGTGCTAACTTTACTTGTGGTAGGACAAAAATGAGCAAGGCTATCACAAATATGTTAGGACCTGAATCCAAGAGGTCAATTCTAGACGATTTGAAAGAAGGACATCCATATGCTATTTTAACAGATGCATCAAATAAGGGAAATATTAAAACATTTTCCCTCATCCTTCGCTATTTCAACAAGAATAAGGGCATTTCTATAAAACTATTGAAATTTTTTTCATCCGATAATGAAAAATCCAACGATATAGCTAACCACATAATGGTAAATATAGCTGATTCAGGGTTATCAATGAGTTGCATGTCAGCTTTCTGCGCTGATAATGCCTGTTAATTTTGGCAAGAATCAAAGTGTATTTACCGAATTGAGGCAGCACAATAATGAATTAATACCAATTGGCTGTATATGCCATATACTGCATAATTCTTGCAAGAAGGCAATGAATGTACTATCTGTAGATGTCGAAGTAATTGTGATGAAATGTTTTAACGAATTTAGTTCATCAACTAAAAGAGTCACTGAATTAAAAGAATTGGTGGAGTAGTCTGATGTGGAATGGTGTGAGTTGTTGCGATATGTACCTATCAGGTGGTTATCATTAATACCTGCCATCGAGAGAATTTTAAAATTTTACGAACCCTTAAAGAAATACTTCTTAAATAAAGATTTTAAAAGCTGTCCTAAAATTTTGAAAAATTTTTTCGAGGATGAATTGTCAGAAGCATATTTGGGATTAGTTTCACATGTAGGAAATCTACTTCATGTAGTTAATATTCAGTTGCAATCAAAAGATTCTTTATTGATAAAGATTCACAAAATCTTGCTACAGCTCTGTTCATCTCTACAGTTAAAAATAGATAATAAATTTTATGGCGCTATTGCTAAAAATATTATATTAAAATGCTCAAATAATACTCTAATTAATACATTTTTAAATGAAGCAGATATTTTTATTAAGACAATTTTAGAATATTTACAATCAAAATTTGATTTTAATAACTTCTATTTACAAATGTTTAAATATTATGACCTTGGAACAGAAACCATCATTTGATGGTTTTTGTAATTTATTAAATATATTAAAATTACCGATAGACATAGAAGCCTTGTTTGAAGAGATCGTAATTTTTTCCATTTTTTATGATTCACCAGAATACTTAAAGTTAGATGGTCTAAAAGCAGAGGAGAAATGGGTGGAATTTTTTTGTAATAACGATAAATCCCCATGCTTGGGAAAAATTTGTGAGTATGTTTCTCCTTACCTCATTCTAATGCCTCATCGGAGCGCATTTTTAGCCTGATGAGGACTGCCTGGAGAAAGGAGAGAAATCGAATTGCTTTAACAACATTAGACGCCGAGTTAATGGTTAAACAAAATTATAAAATGTCATGCCAGGAATTTTATAAATATCTTAATAACGACGGTAAACGTTTAGTTCCATTATTTAAATCTCAAATAAAATATAATTAACTATAACTATTTGACTTTCTATATTTTATAAAATCTTATTTATACATTTGCATAAAATCAAATTAATTTATTTTTTACATTGTAAAATTAATATTTTGAATATTTTGGCAAATCATTAAAATAAAGAAGCATTACAATCTCCTCAAACATGACATCATATTAAATCTTATTAATAATTACGATAATAGTAATAATATTCTTACTTTGGTATTTCTGCAGCATAATTTAGTGAACCATTATTAAATTATATTCTTCTGATTGCAACTGCATATTAACAGCATATAGTAGATCTCCTATATGTAAAATTCCTAAATATACTTTTGCCATTTATTTTTGAAATTTCAAAATATTAGGACAGCTTTTATAATCTATTTATTTTTTAAAGGTTTGTAAAATTTTAAAATTCTACGATGGCGCGTATTAGGAGGAACCTGTCAACCAACATTAAGCTGACTCAATTCTGTAAATACACTCTGGTTTTTGCCAAATTCACTGAGGAATTATCAGATCAGAAAGCTGCCATGCAATTCATTAGTAATGCCAAATCTGCCATATGGATATTTCATATCTGGAGAAAATTTTTTTAATAGTTTTATTGAAATGACATTAATTTTGTTGAAATAGGGGAGGATCAAGGGAAATGTTTTGATATCTCCTTATTAGATACATCTGTTAAAATTGCATATGTTTGCACATCTATTAAATCGTCAAGAATTGACCTTCTGGATTTATATCCTAAAACATTGATAATAGCCTTGCTCATTAGTGTTCTACAAAGTATACTTTTTATTTATATTAGTCGTTAAATATTATGGGGAAAGATTCTATCAACATTGTGATGTTAAGTAGCTCTCTTAATATTATACTGCATACCATTTCCGCAACTGTAGTTGCATCTGTATTATTTCTTATTTTTGAAGAATATTTTTGTTTTGCAATAGATGTTGATAGACTGCCCTGTACTGATTTATGCTTTGAAGATTTTTGATGCCTCAAAATATCATATTCCCTTCCCCCATTGTATTAACTAAATACTGTAGAACAACTTCCCTGCACTGATTATAATTATTTTTTACATTGTAAATTTAAAATTGTTTGTTTTTTTATAAAATCTTATTTATACATTAGCATAAAATATATTTTTTTACATTGTAAAATTACAATTTTTTTATAAAATTTTATCTTGTTATTCTTTTGCATTTAAAAAAGATCGTTGGTTATTATTTTTAAACAAAATTAATATATTATAATAAATCAATGTTATTTTAATAATAAAGATAGTATTTAAGAAATTTTGTGTCGTACTATAATTACCTATTTTGAAAAATAGCTGCTTATTTTATTTTGGAAAATAGTTACCTATTTTATTTTGAAAAAGAGTTGGATATTTTATTTTGAAAAATAGTTGGCTATTTTATTTTGAAAAATAGTTGGCTATTTTATTTTGAAAAAGAGTTGGATATTTTATTTTGAAAAATAGTTGGCTATTTTATTTTGAAAAATAGTTGGCTATTTTATGTTATTCTTTTGCATTTAAAAAAGATCGTTGGTTATTATTTTTAAACAAAATTAATATATTATAATAAATCAATATGTTATTTTAATAATAAAGATAGTATTTAAGAAATTTTGTGTCGTACTATAATTACCTATTTTGAAAAATAGCTGCGTATTTTATTTTGGAAAATAGTTACCTATTTTATTTTGAAAAAGAGTTGGATATTTTATTTTGAAAAATAGTTGGCTATTTTATTTTGAAAAAGGCTATTTTATTTTAAAAAAGAGTTGGATATTTTATTTTGAAAAATAGTTGGCTATTTTATTTTGAAAAATAGTTGGCTATTTTATTTTGAAAAATAGTTGGCTATTTTATTTTGAAAAATAATTACCTATTTTATATTTATAAAAAATAATAAGCGGATAACTGGCCGGGCTTTTGCGGACCGTTTTTTAGCAATTTTCATATTTCTCCCACAATTTTTATATTACTCCCACAAAATACCGAATTTCTCCCACAATTTGAAAATTTTGACCTGGCAAACCCTGGTCCCAACTTCAAATTTTTCTTTTGTGAAAGTTGGGAATATATCTACAAGCTCAAATCAAATTAGAACGCTATCATTTTTTAAATAAAATATTTAATATTATTTTTTATATAATCAATAGTACAAATATTATTTTTTTATAAATTATATATCTTATAATAAAAAATGACCTTCAAAAAATATGTTTTATTGAGTCACTTCTAAATAATGCAATAATAAAGAACAGGGAAACTTTTTATGGGCTGCTTTACGTTATTTTGGCTATTTAGAAGGGTAAGATATAAAAAAAATTAAAGATGTTTTGGAAAATAAGGCAAGATTATAGGATTTGCAAATGAATTGATCAAAATGTAGGCCAAATTTGCAAAACAATGAAAATAAAATTTTTTAATAAGATTTAAGAATACTATCATTTTGGTTTAATTTATGTGCTAAGAATAAAATTAACATAAAGAAATATAGTTAAAATTGAATCAAAGGTGATATTATTAAATTCAAATAAAATATATGATAATTTAAAATATTTATTCATAATTATATCAGAATTCACATTAAAATGAAAAGTTGTTTATTCTTTTTATTTGACTTATAAAAAATATAAATTTCTCTTTTGATGGAAACAAAAGCTTAATGTTTTATTATCTTTAAACTCTTTTTCTTCTAAAAATTTTAACTGGCCCTTAAAAGGGCCTTTGGGTATTATATGGAGGTTATATTGTTTATTTCTATTGTATATTTCTTGACTTTATTGTCACTTGCTACATAGAAGACTTATTTTGAATATAATAAAATGATAATAAACATTGTTTAATCTAAATAATTATTTTATTATAGTGTTTATGGTATTGATTTTTTATCTTAACTTAATTGAAATATTTTAACCAATAAGTATAAGAAGTAAAACAACTTAAGATTGAATTATAAAATTTATTTTAAATTGAAATCCAAAATGGGTAGATAATATTTAACTTAGTTCAATCAGCAATTAAGCCAATAAGTCAGTTATGCAATAGTAGTAAGAGTAACACTATAGATAGCTGTTAAAAATAGAATTAAATAAAATTAGAGAAGCTTATATTAGCTACTATGGTTTTCAAGATTCTTTGGAATAATTTGGAAGCCAATTATTTGAAGAAAAAAAGTTTTATTAGTGAATTTTCATCGGTGAGCAAAATTTTAAGTCTCATTTGTACTGTTTTTGATAAAATACATGCAGAAAAAATAAAATCAACCTCTGAGTGATAATATATGAAATTAAATCAAACTGACTAAAATATGTTATGATTCATTGGGAATTATTTATATCTCATTTATGCATATTCTTAGACAACATATAAATTGATAAAAATATTTGTTTCTTAAAGTATTGGATAATATTAGCTATCTTTATACCTGCAAATCATTAAATGATTCAAATTGAGCCCCAACCTATTAAATAGATTATAGAGTAAGATAAAAATTTTAGGTAAAACTTTTAATAATTACATTTCAAGTCAATAGTAAATATATTATTAAAAATATTGTTATCTCTAAATTTATTTGACTTTTAGAAGTTATATTGTCTAAATCAAAATTGCTTTGATGCTCATCCATAAGAATCTAGTATGATATAAGCTTTTTTAAAAAAAATATTCATATTCAAATCTGCTATGAGAATTCACATTATAATGAAAAGTTGTTTATTTCTTTTTTGACTATAAAAAATATAAATTTTTCTTTGGATCAAAACAAAAGCTACATTTTAAAACAAAAAAAATTTCAAAAGGGCCTTTGTGTATTTAATATAAATCAGATTCTTTGGCAAAAAGAGAATACTTTATAACAATTTATTAATCCTGTCAATAGTTTATTTCTGTGTATACTTCTTGTCTTTATTGTCGCTTGCTAAATAGAAGCCTTATTTTGAATATAATAAAATGATAATATAAAATGTTTAATCTAAAAATGAAAAACTAAACAATTATTTAAACATTCAATATGGGCATTCAATTTATATTATAAAAGTAATCGTATTATATACACAATATTTAAAATTTAATGAAACAGGTTATTTCGCATTCGCTCAATTCTGGCTGACTGAGATAAAAAATCAATACCATAATAATAAAATAATTTCATTGTTACTTCTATTTTTTTTTGACTTGTAAAAGTTATTTCTTCATCTAAATCATAATTGCTTTGATATTCATCCATAAGAATCTAATATAGGGTAAAAAATATTAATGAGTTGGGTATAAATTAATAATCATTATTATTTGGATTTTTTTTTGTGCTAATATTTATATCATAATCTTGAATTAATAGAGAGATGGTAAATAAGGGGTAGTATATTTAATTTAACCATTCCAAATATCGCAAATAGTTTTTATTTGTATGTTCAACTACTTACATTTTTGATTAGGGCTTGTATTTAAAGAGAACCAGGGTGGGCCTAACAACTTAAGTAAAAAATTTGAATAGGGTGGGTAGCACAAAGGCTAACATTTAACCTGTCCAGTGTGCCAAAAGGAATAACCTGTTTTATTAAATTTAAAATTATTATTGTAACTAAGTATATAACAATATACTTTTATAATATAAATTGAGTAAAAAAATACTTGGCTATCAAGGTACTGTAAAATGAACAGGTACTGTAAAAGGAATAGGTGCTGTAGAATGAACAGTTACTGTAAAAGGAATAGATACTGTAAAAGGAATAACCTGTTTTATTAAATTTTAAATATAAAATTATTATTGTAACTAAATATATAACAATATACTTTAATATAAATTGAGTATAAAAATACTTGGCTATCAAGGTACTGTAAAATGAACAGGTACTGTAAAAGGAATAGGGTCTGTAAAAGGAATAACCTATTTAATTAAATTTTAAATATTGTGTATATAAATACGATTACTTTTATAATATAAATTGAATGTCCATATTGAATGTTTAAATAATTTAGTTTTTCAAATAAAATAATTATAAAACGAACATTTATAAACGAGAGCTTTCGTAATTTTATTTATTTATTTACATAAAAATAAATATATGACGTATTTTGGCGTGCTTGTTAATTCACGTGATATATAGCGCATCGCCCTCTAACGTTGAATACACAACAGAGCTACGCTAGGTTTTCCTCATTTCCATCTAATTGGAACAATTTAATTTGGGTATAAAAGTAAAAATATGAGGAGCCCTCCACACGTTTGTGGGCAAGCCGCACGTACTTGTAGGCACAACATTTCGAAAAATGTTGCTTAAACCTCTATAGGCTTTAATTTAAAAGGAGTGGGACAAAGAAAAAGCCTATACCCGAGAACTACAGTATAATTTAATTACTTTAAAGGTGGGTGATGGCTGATTTTAAGCTTAATTTCTTTAGTGTAAGTTATAATTGCTATCAATATTGTGATATAATGTTCATAGAATCTGTAAATAAATGATTAAAATAAAATAATATTTACCGTTCTATCACTGCATTTGATCAACGTTCAAGCTACAAAATCTAATCTTATTTCCAATTTTTGTAAAGAATTTGTCATTGTTCTAGCCAAAGGAATCAAAGGAATGACATTTAATTTTCTAAAACCATGCTATTTTGAATGAATGTCGAACTTATATTCTTCAAATTTATGAAAAACATGAAAAAAATAGTGCACGCTTACCGTGCATTATCGGCAGTGGCTAGGTTCCCCCATATTTTGGGGGAACTTAGATAAAATTCTAGGCTCCCCCATATTTTGGGGGAACTTAGATAAAATTCTAGATACCCCCAATTTTTGACTTATACTTTTAAGCTTATTAGATACATATATTTAAAATCTGGGGGCAATAAGAAAAAATGATACTTTTAAGCTTATTAGATACTTATAATGAAAATGTGGGGGCAATAAGAAAAATTGATACTTTTAAGCTTATTAGATACTTATAATGAAAATGTGGGGGCAATAAGAAAAATTGATACTTTTAAGCTTATTAGATACTTATAATGAAAATGTGGGGCAATAAGAAAAATTGATACTTTTAAGCTTATTAGATACTTATAATGAAAAAATGGGGGCAATAAGAAAAATTGATACTTTTAACATAGAAAAATTGATACTTTTAAGCTTATTAGATACTTATAATGAAAACATGGGGGCAATAAGAAAAATTGATACTTTTAAGCTTGTTAGATACTTATAATGAAAATGTGGGGGCAATAAGAAAAATTGATACTTTTAAGCTTATTAGATACTTATAATGAAAATGTGGGGGCAATAAGAAAAATTGATACTTTTAAGCTTATTAGATACTTATAATGAAAATGTGGGGGCAATATAGAAAAATTGATACTTTTAAGCTTATTAGATACTTATAATGAAAATGTGGGGGCAATATAAGAAATTGATACTTTTAAGCTTATTAGATACTTATAATGAAAATGTGGGGGCAATATAAGAAATTGATACTTTTAAAGAAAAATTGATACTTTTAAGCTTATTAGATACTTATAATGAAAATGTGGGGGCAATAAGAAAAATTGATACTTTTAAGCTTATTAGATACTTATAATAAAAACATGGGGGCAATAAGAAAAATTGATACTTTTAAGCTTATTAGATACATATATTTAAAATCTGGGGGCAATAAGAAAAATTGATACTTTCAAAGAAAAATTGATACTTTTAAGCTTATTAGATTTCAAGAATTTCCTCAATAATTCCCTTGAAAGCATAAGTTGTTAATAAATCCCTGTATTTGCTCTCAGGAGATAAAGCATTATATGGAAATAAAGATTGTTTACTATTATTCATTATTGTTTTATAATTTTTTTCAAAGGCCATAGAATTTACAATGGCTGATATATCTTTGAAAAAACTGTTCAAGATTGAAAATTTTGTGATAACTTTTTTGAATTTTTGATTCATAGACTCACATCTATTATTTGTAGCATTGTAAAAATGTGGTACTGATGAACGGAATCCCAAAACCCATTTTGTTCTTATATTATGCCAATTGGTATCTAAATATTTTTGCACCTGTGGCAAATTCAAATTTGTAAGTACAGAATAACATATTATATTCTGACTCTGATCGTGCATATACCAATTTTTGCAAAGTAGTTAAAACAGTAACAACATCCTCTCCTGTTATGTTTCTTTTGAGGGTTGTTATTTCACTCCTAAAGCTGCACATAACATGAAATATACATATCTGTATATTGGCATTAGGAAAGCTTTCAAATAAGGCCTGTCTATCAGCTAGGTCCTTATCACCTATAATAACCTTAATTTTATTAATATCATTATGTTTTTTCAGGATATCACAGCAGCCTTTTACACAACAATAAGTTTCACCTTTAACAAGCCACAGAGCTGCTATTTGGGATTGCCCATGGCTGTCTATTACAAGTAGGATAAAGAGTGGCATTCCTATAATATTGTAATTTTCATATTATTACATTAATATTTTATCATTACATTTAAATCTTTTTAAAGTAAAAATGCCATAAGTAGATTTAAAATATTAAAAACTAAATTATTACTTTATCTATTGAGGTTATAAATATAATTGTTTTACCTATATTATTGAGTTTATATGTTGCATCAATAAAAAGGACCTCTGGATAGAATTTTAGATTATGGGACATATTAGAATCTTGGTAAAATATTCCCATCAATTGATTATTTTCCTCTATTATTTCAACGATAGCTCCATTATCTTCCTTTAATTGTTGATAAACATTAAAAAGTATATTATTTGAAGGTTTATTGAGGTTGCTCCCAATATTGTGGATATCCTTTAAGGTTATCATTTTTCCTGTTTTTAATATGACTTCCTGTATTTTCACTTTATTTCCTTTTATAGAAAGAGATTGTTCAACAAATTGTCTCTTTGAAGGTGACAATTGTCTTTGTTTAGGTAGAAGCTTAAAAAGCTTTTCATCTAAAAATATTAAAGTATATTTATATATGATTATAATAAATCTAACCTAGCTCATGATTTGTATGAATATCATCCAATTTATGGATAACTAGATAGTGTCCTGAAGTATATTTTACAAGGTGTACCACTAATTTGAAGATACAATTTTTACGTAGGCTTGAGGTTTTTCTAATACCTCTGGATCTGGATACTTTTTGAAGGCCATATTTGCAAATAAAAGTAGCCCTTTTGTACTTAAATTGTATAATATCCTCCTTAGTGTTAGGTGGTTTAAGTATATCAGATTTGTGAATAACAATATTCGTGAAATATTGTTTTTCATAAATTGCTAATGCTAAATTAAAATCAACTATTGATTTAAATTTTGCATTTATCTAAAAATATAATATAAACATTGTTATAAGTAAATTGTTTACCTTTATACTGGATTCTGTATCATCCATAATGGTATAATTATAGTATTAAATGTATAAAATATTGCATTTATCTAAAAATATAATAACACATTGTTATAAGTAAATGGTTTACCTTTATACTGGATTCTGCATCCAAAATGGTATAATTATAGTATTAAATGTATAAAATATTGAATTTATCTAAAAATATAATATAAACATTGTTATAAGTAAATTGTTTACCTTTATACTGGATTATGTATTATCAAATGGTATATTTAATTGAATAACGGTAAAAATATATTGGCGGGAAATTCAAAAAATGGGGGCACCTAGCCTTTGCGTGCATTTATCATTACCCTGATGCTTACTACCAAGTGAATGTATGGAAATATTCTAAATACCAACCTAATTTGCTAAATACCGACCAAAATTTATTAAAATGTAATAAGATCCTTATTATTTAATATGTTAATACGGAATCAAGTGGTCGAGTCCGGCCTCCTATATATTATCCCCCCAAGGATGCAACCACCAAGTTAGAATAAGAAAAAAAAACATGATCATTCCTGGGATTCGAACCCGGGACCATGGGATAAGTAAACCATCTTGCCTACAGGCCATAGAGGCTTTCCAAAGTTCACGATTTTTCAAATATATATTATAAATATATTTGGTAGTGCCTATCCAAATGAAAAATGAACAAAATTCAAATTTGATAGATGGTACCTTAAGGCACCAAGCATCATTAACCTAAAAATTACATGATTATATACTGTAAATCTACGACATATAATATTCCACTGCTTGTATTGTGCTTTAATTTTTTTATTTAATTTATGATTTAATTTTATCAATAGTTTTATAATTATATTTTACTTTTATTATGATAAATAAATTAAAATTACTCACTTTATAAAAAATTATTTTTGATATATTATATTATTTAGTAATTTTATGGATCTATTATTAATAATTATAATTCATTTCACTTTTGTTTTACTACTTATCTTTGGCTTATATTCCATTTCTTAAAAAACATTTTTGGTTCACTTTTTTATATATAAATGCTTTTTTACATATGTATAAATTATGATGAATAGTTTTATAAAAAAATACTTTTACATTCTTTTTTTCAAATTATTATTTAAGATATATGCATACATTTTTGGAGGTCAGGGAGTGGGGGGAGGACTAAGGGGGATATTTTTTATTAGCTTTAAATGATAAAAAGTGATAAATTTCTGAAGATGGGGGATTTCTCCTTGCCCCGACCTGGCTACGCCTATGCCTGCTGCTGAGAGCATTTGATTAGATGAGCGATAATCTATATAGTCGTAGATATATCATTAAAAATGAAAGATAATCTTTTAGAAATTTAATATCTCACAATTCTCGATTACTTATCTAGCTTCATAATGTCATCTAGGTCTAATATAGTCAATTAATGATAGATACTTCCTCAAGATAGTACCTATCAAATTTGTAATTTGTTTATATTTCATTTGGATAGGTACTACCAAATTTATTTAGAATCAGAGTTGTACAAAAGATCTTCTTTGAAGATTTTTGAGCGAGATCTAGCTTAAAAATTTGAGCAAGATCTTTGAAGATCGTAAAATTTGAAGATCTTTTATCTTTTAAAAATTTTGTGTAACAATCTTCAAAGATCTTCATGATATTTATTTTTTTACCCCTTTATTAAAAGCCCAGATGTTTTTCAATTTTCATCAAGGCAGGAGGAGAGGTATAAAACATAAAAGAAATATTATATTAATAAAATTGAAAAACATCTGGGCTTTTAAAAAAGGGGTAAAAAAATAAATATCATGAAGATCGTTACACAAAATTTTTAAAAAATAAAAGATCTTCAAATTTTACGACTTCAGAGATCTAGATCTTTGAAGATCTTTTTATTTTGAGCAAATGTACAACTCTGTTTAGAATATATATATTTGAAAAATTGTTGTTTTGTAAAGCGTCTGTGGCCTAGTGGGCCAGTGCGTCGCTTACCAATCCGATGATTCTGGGTTCGAATCTAAAAAAAGATCATTTTTGTTCTAATTCCAACTTGGTGGTTCCGTCCTTGGGGGGATGATATATAGGAGGCCGGGCTCGACCATGTGATTCCGTTATAATATATGTTAAATAATAAGAGTGTTATTACATTTTAATATTTGGTGGGTATTTAGCAAATGGTATTCACTATCCCATATATTCTTATGTTTGGATTAGTCGTTTATATTATCCTCATTTAATTTGGTTAGGCCTACAAATTTTTCCTTATTAGTCAATTCTATATAACATTGTCTAAAATGGTAACACAACGTTATATTAATTTAATGACCTTTTGTCAATTAAGTTTGCTAAGAATTATTGCCTTGTGCGGTTTTTAAAAACCATACAAAAATTTATTAATGTGTTTTTATCCATTTTAAGACCTGATCATAGATTTTAATGACTAGAAATAATATGGATAGATTTCTATATTGATGGCAAAATAGATATGCAAAGATGTTCTTTAGAATTATAGCCTTGAATATGACTTTCCAAATTAGCTTTAAGATAATATTTAAGTATGATTTTGCACTTATATATATTAGTCTAATGCAATTATTATAGAGCTTAAAACTTAATGTATATACTCTACCTTTTAAAGTTGCACAATTAATTTTTCAAATAACAACTTTAAATATGATTTCCTTTGAGCAATCAAGCCATGTGCTATCTTAATAGGCCATTTCACGCTATGCATGAAACTTTTAACTAATGTTGTAAACGAACGCTTTCAAAATGAACGTGTTCGTGAACGAAGTTTGTTTTTTTTGAAAAAAATGAACCACGTTCTTTTTATTATTTTTTCGCTGTTTTCTTTATCACATCTGAATATTTTGAACAGCCACTATTTTTGCCCTATAGTATAATTTATTAATTTGAATCTTATTTAGGATTAGGGTAAACATGGAAGTTGTTATTACATTATTATCATCTGATTCTGAATTTAATAAATACTTTACAGTAACATCATATCTTCAATTAACTAATTTTATCTATATCAAATGCAAAATGTGTCCATAAAGTATAATATCAGTTTTAAAATCTTCTAGTTCTAATTTAGAGAAATACTTGTTGTAATATTTATTATGTTATATAATATAAAAGTATCCTGTTAATAATTTATTTTAGATTGTTGTATTTTATTATTATACTAGTAGATAGCCCGTCAAAAATGACTGGGAATGAGGATTTTCTTCTTATTTTTGTTACCTGTTATTTGAAAAATATCCAATTTTTATTCTTTTTAACCCCCCCCCCCCCTTCAGGCCAGGTTTAATACATTAAAACTAAGTGTAAATATTATGGTTTGAGTCAAAATATATTTAAAGCTTTTACTTGATAATATCAATATTATTTGTTAAATATTACTCATCACCTATGCCCAACATTTAATATTATAAAAAATTCCCAAAGATGGTACAAATCCATTATAATTTTGAAAAAATTTTTCCAAGCCCAATGTAAGATCATAATAATTTTGGTAATTGAGAACTGAAATAAAATATTTAAAAAATCATAATGAATTTAAAAATAATATCAAAATCAGATTTTCATGGACCTTGGTTTTTTGATCAGATTAGGTCCAGGCCTGCAAAAAAATTTGTTTTAGGCCAATGTCTAACTCATAGTTAATAATAAAAGAATTCCCAAGCGTCCAAGAGCTGATAATAATTTTGAAAAATTTTCCCCAAGCCCCGTCCAATATAATCTATAAAAATATTTTCCAAGCCCGCCCAACCCATAATAATTTTATTAAAAAATTTCCTCAAGCCTGGCCAACCCATAGTAATTTTCAATTTTTTTTTCCAAGCCTGGAGATAGTAAAAGCCATATCTATTTTTTATTCTTTTTAACCCCCCTTCACCCCACTAAGGCCAACCTATTATGACTAAGACTGAATACTATTTGTTTGAGTAAAAATATATTTAAATTAGCTTTTACCTGAGAGCCATATAAATATTCTGTGTTAAATATTACAACTATGCCTAAGATCTAATATTAAAAAAATTACTAAATCAGGTCCACACCCTTGGGAAAATTTTCTCAAACCCGCACCATAATAACCTTGATAGTTGAGAATTGAAATAAAATACATAAAAGTTTCTCAAACCCGCACCATAATAACCTTGATAGTTGAGAATTGAAATAAAATACATAAAAAGTCATCCAGAAAAATAAGTCCGATGTAACAGGTTTATAAGAATTAAATCTGTCTAATATGTATATTTTTTTGCCATTTTATATTTGTGGAATTATCGGGAATAGACTGTGGATAGAAATATCATTATTGAAATCATACTTTATTAATAAATTACATTAAATAAATGAATTATATTTTATATTCTCATATTTTTTATAAATTACAATCTCCCTTAACAAAAAAATGTTCTTTTTAAATCTTTTAAAAAATAAATAAATCATAAAAAAATAATCAATTAGATAAAATAAAAATGTTCGTTTAAAATTGAATTTAACTTAAGTTATAAAATAACAAAAAATATACAATTTTAGCAAAAATATAAAATTATAAAATAAATTGATTTTAAAGTTAAGAAACAAACATAAATTGCAACGTAAACTAAAAATAAAATCTCGCCGAAAGATACAAAATTTTAAATCGACGTATTTAACAATATTATTGGGAAAATTTTTCAAAATAATTTATCATCAAATGAAGGGGAAATTGATTTACCCATCATTCTACTGGTTAGCTCCTGGTATTATATGAAATTCATGAATACATATTAAAGTATCATGCCTTATAAAAATCAGTGATAAAATTTTAAGACATTGTTATTTTACAAAAGAATTAAGTTAACAAAAATAGGAGGTTAACTTCAATCATAGTCAAATTTTATATAAGAAAAACAAAAAGGTTTTACATTTAATCAAAAATAATAATAAGTTATATGAAAAATATACATTCAACAATTATGAAGTGATGAGAAAATATACAAAACTATGGAATGTCCTAAGATATTTGCACTGAT